ATCTTCTGTAGTCTTTGAAAGGTTTGAAGAATGCCATCTGAAATATATCTCTGTACACTTAGAAAATCTAACTGACATGACTATAAGCTTGACTGTTAAAGATGACTATTAACCTACATTTCTTAATTATACTTTACATTTTTAAATGAATTGCACAAGCTACCTTAATCAAGAGCAGAAATACACATATAACAAAATTGACCTGAAATTAGTGTCAATAAACCTAGATCTATACCAATGCAAAGTATTTTTTTTTTTGTTGTTGTTTTTGTTTTTGTTTTTCGAGACAGGGTTTCTCTGTAGCTTTGGAGCCTGTCCTGGAACTCCCTTTGTAGACCAGGCTGGTCTTGAACTCACAGACATCCGCCTGCGTCTGCCTCCCAAGTGCTGGGCAATGCAAAGTATTGATCTCTATATCATATCCCCCTTTAAATGTAAACAAACATCTATAAACAATCATTTAGGGAATTTGGGCATAGTTCTCTCCAAGCTGTTTCCTTCTTTTTGTTGGGCAAAGTATTCTTTGTGGTGTCGTAGACACCTTTTGGGTGGTCTTGGTCCATCAAAGCACATTAGTCTGGAAGGATTCTATATTTTCATCTTCTGTGGAAACAAAAGAAGAACCTCTTTTCCAAAGCAACATATCCTGAGACTCAAATTCTGAAGTCAGGATGCCTTTATGTTAGTTTAACTTATCCATACAGCGAAATGTCTCTCATTACATAGCTCTTTAACAGTCAAAAAATTCAAAGAAAACACAATAATATACATAATCCAGACTCTGTGAATTTTCCATCTTTAAGTGGCTTGTTTTTACCCTATTACTTTAATATTTATTTTATTATCTTTATTCCTTTAATCTATGTCTGTACTCTGTCTCTTTAAAGACTTTGTTTTGTTATTTTAAAACCATTTACTTCTTTTTATAACTCTCTATACTCTTTTTCTTCTTTCCCAAGCCTACATACATTTTTTAAAACACACTATGACCCATTTAGAGGTCTTTTTCATTTGAATCTGTCTTTATTGCATATCTGTAATCCTTTTCTTACCAGAACTACTTTTTTCTTCTTTAATTAAATGCTAAGTAGGCATGGCTAGCGCCAACATGGCCCTGCCTGTTGGTTCCACCTGGTCTAACATGGAAGAAGCATGTTTACTACCTCTGAGACTGCCCGGTGGGAGCCATCCTCACCACCTCAACTCTGGTAACCAGTGGGCCCATGCTGTCCTCTTGAAAGAGCCAGAGTTCGCACTGGCAGCATGGCCCAGAAAGCCATTGTTTCAAAAAGGCATGGCTTTTTTTCTGCTACCACTGGATCAGAAAATCCTCTCTTAAAGGAGCTGTGGTGTTAAGCTGTGTTTAACTCTTTTTTAAAATTATTATTTAAATCACTGCTTGGCCCATTAGCTCTAGCTTCTTATTGGCTAACTCTCACATCTTAATTTAACCCATTTCTATTAATCTTGTATTGCCATGAGACTGTGGTTTACCAGGTAAAGTTTCTGCGTCTGTCTCCAGCAGGGCTACATGGCTACTCTGCCTCCTTTCTCCCAGCATTCAGTTTAATTTCCCCTGCCTAGCTCTGCTCTACCCTATCACAGGCCCAAAACAGCTTCTTTATTAACCAATGGTATTCACAGCATACAGAGGGGAATCTGCTCTACCCTGTCACAGCTGAGTGTTAAGACTATGGATGCCTGTCATTTTTCCCAGTGAGATTGTATGAGGCTTTTTTTGTTTTTGTTTGTTTGTTTTGAGACAGGGTCTCTATGTAGCCCTGACTGGCCCCAGTGCTCAGATGAAAGATACATGTTTTTATGATACTCTGGTGTTCAGCAGATGAAGATCTTTTGAAAGAAGTGTTCTAAGCTCCTCCGTGTCATTCTTCTGTGTTGCAGTGCTTGTGTGTAAGTAAATGTTGGCCTGAAAGGAAGACTAGCATATTCTCCAGCTGGGCTCTGAGGCCCTTCAGTAGACGATGCGGGACAATGTAGGAAGCTGGACCCTTACAGTCAGGTGTCCAGTGAGTCCTAAGGATACTCGTGTTCCAAGCTTCTAGCCTCCTTTGTCTATGAGTGACAGTTTGATCTCTCACAAGGCCCTCATGTACTGGATAGGAAACAACCCTGAAAGGCAGGTTTAAAGGAAGGTGGTTTGTGTGAAGGGTTATATATATATAGCTGCAGCGGTGGAGATGCTAAGATGCTAACAGCAGTTGGAATGCCATGGTCCTCAGGACTGCTTTGAACTCGACAGATGCCCGTAGTGGAGAGCTTTGTTCTCTGAGCGGCTGAGTACATGGCGCATTTTCCCATTTACAGCTGTGGTGTTGTACTGGTGCTCTAGTTCCTCTGCCCTCTAGATATATGAGGTCACTTTTACATTGATCAGATGTGACAATCAGAAATACCCAGCCATTGCTAGATGTTTCTGGAGGAACAGAGTTGTTCTCTTAACAGCATTGCCTCTCATTCTCTCTTCAGGCTCAAACATGATACCCAGGGTTTCATTAGTAAGTAATTAAAGAGTGACTGGCAAATTTATTATTTTTTTTTGTTTGTTTGTTTATTTATTTATTATGTATACAATATTCTGTCTGCATGTATGCCTACAGGCCAGAAGATGGCACCAGATCTCATTACAGATGGTTGTGAGCCACCATGTGGTTGCTGGGAATTGAACTCAGGACCTTTGGAAGACGAGGCAATGCTCTTAACCACTGAGCCATCTCTCCAGCCCCAAATTTATTATTATTATTGTTGTTGTTGTTGCCTGGGTCTGTGACTGAATCTAGAGACCTCTTTATGTATGCACAGTAAGTGCAGCTTCACCAGTCTCCATCCCCAGCCTCTTGCCTGGTGAGTTTTAGTGCTGACTGTGTGAGAATTTAAAGCTTATCGAGTTGTTGTATATTATGGTTTTTTTTCTTTTGTGTTTTTGTTTTTTGAGACAGTGTTTCTCTGTGACACAGTCCTGGCTGTCATGAAACTCAGTTTGTAGACCAGGCTAGCTTTGAACTCATAGAGATCTGCCTGCCTCTGCCCCGAATGCTGGGATTAAAGGTGTGGACCACCACCACCCAGCTGTATATTATGTTTTTTTATTGGTTTTTCGAGACAGGGTTTCTCTGTGGTTTTGGAGCCTGTCTTGGAACTAGCTCTTGTAGACCAGGCTGGTCTCGAACTCACAGAGAGCCACCTGCCTCTGCCTCCCGAGTGCTGGGATTAAAGGCGTGCGCCACCACCGCCCAGCTGTATATTATGTTTTAACTGCCCCCTGTCCCATGTGTTATGAGAGGCAGTGGTGGCCAGGCCAGAGCTTGACACTTGGTGTCTTCCTTTTGCCATATACCCTATCTGTCTGTCTGCCTGCCCGCCCGCCCGCCCGCCCGCCCGTCCGTCCGTCCTTCCGTCCGTCCATCCATCCCTCCATCCATCCTTCTATGGACATGTTCTTGTTTTGATTCTGGAGCTTGCTGATTGGCTAGACTATCTGGGCAGCAAACCCAGGGTTCTTCCCCAGCACTGGGATGAGTAGCTGTGTTCTGCCACTGGTCTTGACTTTTTGTGAATTCTGGGGATCAGATTCAGGTCCTTGTGTTCACATGGCAAGCACAGCTCACTGAGCCACCCATACTTTTTTCCCCTCTAGTTTTTAGCTGCTTATTTCAACTCTTTGAGGTGTATTTGAGACTAGCATTTTGGGGGCAGTCTCATTGAAAGCCCGATTGTTCTGAGCTTCTAAAATCCTCACGTATTTATGACTGGAGCTGGAAATGTTGTCACTGGGCCTGCTTTATACAGTAGGAGCAAAAAAGGATTCCTTTGGGCCCCACCCTTTCTAAGTTTAGGCATTCATTCAGTCTAAGTTCTGCCACGGGTTGGGATGATCCTGTTGGGACGGGCTTTGTTTTAGTTCATTTTCTGCTCTTGACTCTGGTTGGTGTTTACAATAGGAGTAAACTGATTGGCTCCTGCCAGTGAGTAAAGCTTTCAAGAAAGACTTTAGGGAGACTAGGAGTGAGCCAGGGAAAGAGAGGAAGCTCTTTCTCCAGAACAAGGGCACACTCGTGAGTCCACACTTGCAGCTTGTCTGCATCTTGGATGGGTGGGTAACTTTTTTCACTCCCAGAGTAAACATATGGTGCGGTGCAGCAGCACTGGGGATGAGGGCGCGAGGTCGTTCGAGCTAGGCCCTATGGCGCTTCTTTGGAGGTTTGCTTCAAGTAACTTACTTGCTCTGGTTTATCTGTGGGAGGGGCATGGTGGTAAAAATCATTGTGTGGTTTTTCTGCCAGTGCATGGCTAGTTAGTTGGTGTGTGCTGGAGGCCTGCCTGGCTGCCTGTTTCCATAAAATCATAGCACTTTCAGCTCCCTTCAAACTTCCTCTGCTTTGTGAAAAATGGACATAAGTGTGTATGGAATTGTTCCCACTCTTACATTTTTTTAAAATATTTATTTATTTATTATACAATATTATGTCAGTGTATATGTCTGCAGGCCAGAAGAGGGCACAAGACCCCATTACAGATGGTTGTGAGCCACCATGTGGTTGCTGGGAATTGAACTCAGAACCTTTGGAAGAGCAGACAATGCTCTTAACCTCTGAGCCATCTCTCCAGCCCCCACTCTTACATTTTTATTTTATATGTATATGTCTTACTTGCATGTATGTTTGTGCATGATGTGTGTGCAGTGCCCACAGCAGTCAGAAGAACTGGAGTTATATGTGGTTGTGAGCCACCATGTGGGTGCTGGCCACAAGCCGGACCTCTTAATCACCGAGCCAACTCTCCAAACCCCCCACTTTTTGTTTTATTTTGTTTTGTGGATAGGGTCTCTGTAGGCTTGTTAGTCTAGAACTCATTATGTATACCAGCTGGCCTCCAACTCAGAGATCCACCTGCCTGTGCTTCCTGAGTGCTAGGATTGAAGGTGTGAGCCACTATGCCTGACTTTTTATTTTCGAAATTATTTTATTGTATTTTGCCTATAGATTGATGTCTGTTCCAGCTATGTGAGTATGGTAGCTGTGGAGGCCAGAAGGGATGTTGGACTTCCTGGAGCTGGAGTTAGAGCGGATGTGAGCCTCAATGTGGGTGCTGGGAATAGAACCCGAGTCCTCAACAAGAACAGCTACTGCTGAGCAACTCTTCAGCCCACCCCAGCCCCTGTTTCCTGCAGCCTTGCCATCCTGCAGTCCCCTGGGCTCCCATCCTCTTCACTCGCACCTGCTGTGGTCCCAGGGCAGCACAGGGTCTATTCAAGTCACTCCGGGATTGTGAGCCTGAAGGTTGGTGCAGTGATTTTCTGACTTAGAATCTATAATTAGATGAACCTCCTAATAAAGAGAAAGAACCAGCAATAGTGAGAAACGCCTCCTATAAGTCAAATGATGGGAGACAACAGCAGTTCCTAGTGACCTGCTAATGGTGTCACTACCCAGGTTGCTTTCAATTTCTCACAGGTTTGAGACAAGGAGGTCTTTCCATATCCTATAAATATTAAGCACTGGGCTGGAGAGTTGGCTCAGTGGTTAAGAGCATTGCCTGCTCTTCCAAAGGTCCTGAGTTCAATTCCCAGCAACCACATGGTGGCTTACAACCATCTTTAAAGAGGTCTGGTGCCCTCTTCTGGCCTGCAGACATGCACACAGACAGAATATTATATACACAATAAATAAATAAATATTTTTTAAAAATATATTAAGCACTACACATCGCCGATTCTCTTTGCAATATGACCACACATTGCATGGGTATGGCAAACCATCTTAAATCACTGCATGAAATGCAAACTAGGATGCAGCAGCATGAGAAGGAGCTGTAGACTTCTAACTGATCAGCGTAGCTACATGTTGCATGGACTGTTTTGTAACTGAGGTAATGCCAGGATTGACTGGCATTTCAGCAATTACTCTTCTGCCTCTGTAATTTAGCTTTTTATTTTCTTTCCCTCGCTACTTTCATGTAGAGATTTAGATTCCATTGCTCTGGCTTAGCTGCATCGAAAGCTGTTAGTTTGCACGTTGTTCATTTTGCTGGGAGTGGCCTTTCTCATCGTGAAGTTCTAATTCAGATTGTATCTGCTGCTGTCTCTGGGAGCCAGACACCAAACAAGGATGGGCGTCTTCTAGCTTTCTGCTAGCTGCCTGCTCACCACACCTGCACTTAGACCAGCTCACAGCCCTGTAGCACGTCCTCCAGCACAACAAAGAAGAGTTCGGCCTCTCCTCGTCTGGCTTCCCATCTGACTGGCAGCTTCCAGAGGTAGTGCTGAGGTGCTCCACTTTCCTTTTAGGAAGCAGAAGGAGGTATTGCTGTCTACACTTCTGTGTCCAGATAGGGAACCTTGGGGTCTGGAGAGATGGCTCAGCGGTTAAGCTGAGCATGGTTAAGAGCATTGCCTGCTCTTCCAAAGGTCCTGAGTTCAATTCCCAGCAACCACACGGTGGCTCACAACCATCTGTAATGAGGTCTGGTGCCCTCTTCTGGCCTACAGGCATACATGCAGACAGAATATTGTATACATAATAAATAAATAAATATTAAAAAACCAAAATATTAAAAAACCAAACAAGCAAAAACAGATAGGGAACCTTGGTTGGATGTGGGGTAGACAGACATGTAACTGCTCCAACCCAAACCTCCTCTGTTTCAGAGTTTGGAAGCTGGCAGAATGACATGAACAGGAAATACCACTTGGAATAGTCATTGTTCTATCAAAGTTTTGCCTTTTGAATGACTTCTCAGAACTAATGAACTCTTTTTCTGTCTGAGTCACTTTTCAGGGCATCAGCAAAGTTTTCACCAAGAAAAAGGGGTGGCCAGATACTACAAGACCAGAGTCATTAACATTCATTAATTTTTCTTGAAATCTATCTATCCGTCTGTTTGTCTGCCTATCTATCTATCTATCTATCTATCTATTTATCTATAATTTATTTGAGACAGGGTTTCTCTGTAGCCTTGGCTGCCCTGGAGCTTGCTCTGTAGACCAGGCTGGCCTCAAACTCAGAGATCTGTCAGCCTCTGCCTCTGAGTGCTGAGATTAAAAGGCATGCACCACTAGTGCCCAGCAAAATATATATATATATATATATATATATATATATATATATATTTATGTTTGCTTGCGTGTATTTACGTTTGTGAATATATACTGTGGCATGCATTTGGCGGTCAGAGGGCAACTTGGTGTCTCAGTTTGGGTTACTGTTGCTGTGATAAAATAACATGACCAGAGCTGGACAGTGGTGGTGCACTCCTTTAATCCCAGCACTTGGGAGGCAGAGGCAGGAGGATTTCTGTAAGTTCACAGCCAGCCTGGTTTACTAAGCTAATGCTAGGATAGCTAGAGCTACACAGAAAAACCCTGTCTCAAAAGCAAGCCAACCAAACAAACACAAAAACACATTAATTGATTGATTGATTGATTAAATAATTCATTAATTAATTGAAGTACCATGACCAAAGTAACGTGGAAAAGAAAGGGTTTATTTGGCTTACACTTTCATAGTTACTGTTCTCACTGAAGGAGGTCAGGGCAGGAACTCCAAACATTACAGGAACCTGGGGGCAGGAGCTGATGCAGAGGCCATTGAAGGGTGCTGCTTACTGGCTTGCTCAGCCTGCTTTCTTATGGAAGCCAGGACTACCAGGATGGTACCACCTGCAGTGTACGGCCCGCTCCCCATCAATCACTAATTAAGAAAATCCCCACAGGCCTGCCTACAGCCCAGTCTTATAGAAGCATTTTCTCAAGTGAGGATCCCTCTTCTCCTGTGTCATGACTCTAGCTTTTGTGGTGTGGGAGGTCCTTCTGTCTATGTGTTGCTTTTATTGGTTAATGAATAAAGAACTGGCTTGGCTTATAGCATGGGAGAAAGAAGGCGGAGTTAGAGATGCCAGGGAGGTGCCAGAGACAGATATGCTGCAACTTTGCTGGTAGGCCATGACCTTGTGATATACAGATTAATAAAAATGGGTTAAATTAATATATAAGAGTTAGCCAATAAGAAGCTAGAGCTAATGGGCCACGGAGTGATTTAATTAATACAGTTTCTGTGTGATTATTTTGGGTCTAAGCAGTCCGGTGGCCCTTTCCTCCAGCACTTTGTCAAGTTGTGTCAAGTGTCAACCAGGACACTTGATGAGGCTCTGTTCTCTCTTATCGTGTTGTTCCAGGCTTGGCATCCAAAGCTTTTGTTCACCGAGTTGTCATGTATGTAGGCCCTTAATTTTTATTTTGAATTTAAGTGAGTTTAAGTCAGGAAAATTGTAGGGTACTTCAGAGCCCGTAAGGAGGGCTGGTTAGAAACTAAAGAAAGAAACAGATTTCTTTTGAAAAGGGATGCATTTAAAGGTTTTCAGATCTGGTCACTAGGAAATGAAAAATAACTAAAGATGTCATGAGTTAGGAAAGTCTTGACACACTTGGAGGAAGAACATACAGGTGCTTCCTTCTTCCCTAGTGTGACGAGATCATTGCACACATGCGTGTGAGTTTGAGTGCTTCCACACCAGGGTACCTGTAACAAACTTTACAGCCCTGTCTGGATAGCTGCCCTTCTGTGGACACCGTTCTTGCTTGTCTCATTTTTTTAATTTTATTTTATAAATCTGTCTGTTACAAAACATTGTTTTGCTTTAATAAATCATGCGTGTGCGTGTGTGGACACTTGTGTGAGTGTGGAGGTCAAAGGACAATTTAAGACTTGGGAACAGAATTTAGCTCATCTAGCTTTATTGGCAAAGGTCTTTTACTCTCTGAGCGTATTTGTCTGATGTGTAAATCTGTTCTTCATTTTTTAATCTGTGTAGCCCTGGCTGTCCTGGAACTCACTTTGTAGACCAGACAGGCCTCAAATTCAGAACTTCACCTGCCTCTGCCTCCTGAGTACTGGGATTAAAGGCGTGCAGATCTATAAAGATCCTGGCTCTTTTTTGCTTAGCTGTTCCACAATTTAATCTGCTACATCAGAATCCTTTAGCCTGCTTCACAGGATGGCATTCCCGATTGTCACCTCACTTCTCTCCAGATGTGTTTGACTGTCCTAAGGGAAAAGCACAGACCATTGTATTCCCCTGGGATTTACTGCTTTTTCTTTTTTTTGTTTATTTTTGAGACAGGATCCCTTTATGTAGCTCTGACTGTCCAGGAAATATGTAGACCAGGTTGGCCTCAAACTCATTGAGATCCATCTGCCTCTATTTCCCAGGTGGGATTGAAGGTGTGCATCACCACACCTTTCCGCCATGTCTTTGCTTGCCTGGAGAAGTGCCTTACCACAAAGCCCAGGGTGACTTGAACTCCAGGTAACTTAGGCTGTCCTTGAACTCAAAGCACGTCTCCTGAGTCAGCCTCCTGAATGTTGGGATTACAGTTGGGTTTTGTTTTGTTTGTTTTCTTACTTTTTTGAGATAGGGTCTCATTATGCAGTTCTGGCTACACTGGAACTCACTGGGCAGACCAAGGCTGGTCACAGATTTACAAAGCTATGCTTGTCTTTGCCTCCCATTTGCCAGATTAAATGCCTGCATCTCTATGCCTGGCAACAGGCGTAGTTTTAAAGATCTAAATTATGTATTGTGTATCCTACATGTATACACCTATACCATACCTTGCGTGTGGAGGTTGGAGGACAGCTCTGTAGAGTCAGCTTTCTTCCTGCCTTCCAGGCCTCAAACTCAGCCTTCAGCCTCACTGAGCTACTTTGCCAGCCATGTGTGTGCACTGTTCCGTTTGCACGTGGTTCACTTTGTTTTTGTTTTTGTTTTTTTGTTTTTTCAAGACAGGGATTCTCTGTGGACAGCTTTGGAGCCTGTCCTGAAACTCACTCTGTAGACCAGGCTGGCCTAGGTGGTTCACTTTGTAAGACTCCCACAGGGCCATGGCATTTTACTTACATAATTGTCAAAAATAGATCACAGTGGAGAACAGCAGTCTTTAAGAATGTTCAAGGAATGAGAAGCCAGGTTTGAGAACAGCAGTTATGACTGGGAGCTAGAGATGCACCCTTAGCTGAGCTTTGGCATGGCAGCCTGCTCAGGGGCCCTGCTTGTGGGCTTACAGGCTGCTCCAGCAGCAGTGCCTGTCAGGCTCCGGTTGTGTCTGTCCTAGGTGTGTGCTCTCTCTGTTGTTAGTTTGCAGTGCTGGGTATGGAACTGCAATGTATGCTAGGTCAGGGCTGTTTCAATGAACGGTAGCCCTAGCCCTATGAAGACACAGTACTTACTCACTTTCCTAGGTTTCTCGGCTATAGGTGGTTCAGGAATGATTCTGGTTTTGTCTTCTCTAAGCATACACTCCCAGCATGCTTTGCAGTTTTCCATCCCTGGGAAACTAGAAGTCATACATACTGCTGCTAATGTCCATGAATTTGGTTAATTTTCAGTCTCTTCCACCATGGAAAATCCAAGGAGAAAAATCCAAATTTATCTTGTGAATGAGTCAGCTGTCAGCATGGTTTAGCCTGAATCAAGTTTGTGTCTGAGCAAGGCCTACCTCTCTGGGGTAAATGATTGTCCAATCTTCTCTGATGGCTTATACAGACAAGGTTGTCTGGTTTCTGTACTACTGCACATGGGACTGTGGCTCAAAATACAAGCTCACAGATTTTAGACAGTTGCCTTTATTTTTATTTCTTTTGGGTTTTCTAGGCAAGGTTTCTTTGTGTAACCCTGACTGTCCTGACCTAGACCACGCTGGTTTTGAACTCACCGATCTGCCTCTGCCTCCCAAATGTGCACCACTATGCCTGGCTCACTGAGAATTGCCTCCACTTTTTTTTTCTTCTTATTTTGGTTTTTCTAGATAGGGTTTCTCTGTAGCTTTGGAGCCTCTCCTGGAACTAGCTCTGTAGACCAGGCTGGCCTTGAACTCACAGAGATCCACCTGTGCCTGTCTCCTGAGTGCTGGGATTAAAGGAGTGAGCCACCGTTGCCCAACGAATTGCCTCTACTTTTACCCTTGCAAGGTAGATCAAGAAAATACATACTCTCTTGGAGTATTTGGCTCTTTCTTTTCCTTCCTTCCTTCCTTCGTTCCTTCCTTCCAGATTTATTTTATGTACGAGTGTTCTATTTGTGTGTACACCTTTACGACAGATGAGGTCATCCGATCCCACTGTAGATGGTTGTGAGCCATCATGTGGTTGTTGGGAATTGAATTTGAATCTCTGGAAGAGCAGCCAGTGCTCTTAACCATTGAGCCATCTCTCCAGCCTGGAGTATTTGGCTTTTAAAACTCTTAAGTCACATGAGATTGTGTAGGTTTGGAGTAAACAATTCCCAAGTGCTATGATTGATTTGCCATAAATATTCTAACCCTTGGGACCCTCTTGTCTGCCTTTAGTTCTTTCAGTCTGTCTGATATCTGATTAAAATCAGGAGCGAGAGTGGTGGCTTAGTGGTTAAAAGCAGTCACTGTGCTTCCTGAGGACATGGGTTCAGTTCCTAGCACCATATGGCAGTTCTCAACTGTTTGTCACCCCACTTAGGGAATACTACACATTCTTTGGTCTCCTCGGGCACTAGGCACACATGTGGTATGCATACAGGCAAAACATCCATACACATAAAATAAAAATCAGTCTTTACAAACTAGCATAATTGTATTTGAAGGGTCTCTTTCTGTCGGTGCATCCATAACACATAAAATAAAAACCAGTCTTTACAAACCAGCATAACTGTATTTGAAGGGTCTCTTTCTGTCGGTGCATCTCAATAATGTGACATTGTCTCACAACGAAAAGTGAAAAAACATCTTTCTACGTTGCTGGGCAGTCTTCTAAACCACACCCACCAGAAGTGCCCAGGGTCCAGGTTGACCCCAGCCCTGGAGGTGGTTTGTGGTTGTTCTCAGTACAGCTGCTGCCACAGCTAGGGAAAGGAAGAACTTTCTTAAAAGCACAGGAAGGGAGGAATCTGGCAGTCTGTCTGGGCTAAGAAAGTCTTCTTTCAAAAATGTGTCTTGAGGCTGCCCAGTATGTCCTGATGGCTTCCTAAGCGTCGGTCCTCCACTGTGAATGGCAGATTCCTCCTCACCATCTCAGTCTGAGGTCCCTGACTGGGTGGTCTCAGAGGACTCATGCGGAGATGCTTCCCCATGCAGTGTTTTAGGTTGAGGACAAGCATGATGAAGTGCCTTTCCCTGGGTAAGGCTGTGTAGTTTGTCAAGAGCGTAGGTTTTTAGTAGAACCATGTCAACTCAGTATGGCAGTATTGCTTATAATTTGTCCATCAGCAGTGTTGCTTCTGTGTTTCCCAATGATTAACAAGGGTGAGAAGACCCTGCCTACATGCAACCTGCTAGGTCACAGTGCTTCAAACAAGGGCTAGCAGATTAGGAACCTAGGGATGTGTTTGGGAGGCACATGCAGGAGGCTGTGGCTGGTGGGCTCTAGTTACAGTCCCAGTCCTTGGTAATCAGGAGAAATTCCGAGCATCTCAGGTCAACCTTTTTGCCTTTAATTTCTCTGTGGTGGTCTGTGTCTTCTCTCAGTCACAGCTGTTCAGAGTGATTGAGGGTTTCTCATTTTATAGACCTTGAACTCATAGATCAGCCTGCCTCTCTGCCTTTTGAGTGCTGGGATATAAGGTGTGTGCCAACACTGCCCAGCAGTTGAGGGTGTTCTTTTTTTTAAATATTTATTTATTTATTATGTATACAATATTCTGTCTGTATGCCTGAAGGCCAGAAGAGGGCGCCAGATCTCTTTACAGATGGTTGTGAGCCACCATGTGGTTGCTGGGAATTGAACTCAGGACCTTTGGAAGAGCAGGCAATGCTCTTTAACCTCTGAGCCATCTCTCCAGCCCCGAGGGTGTTCTTAAAATGCAATTATGTCTGTCTGTCTGTCTCTCTCTCTCTCACACACACACACAGAGACGCTGAATTCTGTTATGAGGAAGAACAGTAACTCATTTGACCTTCTGATTGTGCAAGCCCATTCATATTCTTAGGAATTTGATTCATAGACTAAATTTAGTTGAGCCAATTTTAATATAAAATCAAAATCATTCTTATTTTTCTCTACATAATATCTTTTTTTTTTTGTTTTTTTTTTTTTTTTTCGAGGCAGGGTTTCTCTGTGGTTTTGGAGCCTGTCCTGGAACTAGCTCTTGTAGACCAGGCTGGTTTCGAACTCACCTGCCTCTGCCTCCCAAGTGCTGGGATTAAAGGCGTGTGCCACCACCGCCCGGCTTCTACATAATATCTTAAAGGCATTTAAAGGTGAATTTTCTTTTCTTTCTTTTGGTTTTTCGAGATAGAATTTCTCTGTGTAGCGTGGGCTGTCCTGTAACTCACTCTGTAGACCAGACTGACTTTGAATTTAAGAGATTTGCCTGTCTCTGCCTCCTAAGTGCTGGGATTAAAGGCGCGTGCCACCACTACCCAGCTTCTCTTTTTTTAAAAATGTGTATTGTTTTGCCTGAATATATGTGTGTAGTACTTGTGCACTTGGTGCTTTTGGAGGCCAAATAGGGTGTTAGATTTCTTGGAACTGGAGCTACAGGTCTTTGCAAGCAACCAGGTGATGATGGGAATCAAATCTGTGGACTCGGGAAGAACAACCAATGCTCTTAACCACTACTCCATCTCTCCAGCCCCTAAATGGAGTTTTCATGGCACTAATCAAGCTTGCTGTTGCTAGTGTTGTTCTGTTTGTTGTGTTTGTTTGTTTGTTGTTAATTACTATGTATACAGTGTTCTGCCTGTGTGTATACCTGCAGACCAGAAGAGGGCACCAGATCTCATTACAGATGGTTGTGAGCCACCATGTGGTTGCTGGGAATTGAACTCAGAACCTTTGGAAGAGCCGCCAGTGCTCTTAACAGCTGAGCCATCTCTCCAGCACTGTTTGTTTGTTTTTGAGATACGCAGCTTAGGCTGGTCTCACATTTATAATCTTTCTTCCTTAGCCTCCCTGGTGCTGAGATTATAGTTTTCGTTTTAAAGGTTTATTTCTTCATTGTGTATGTTTGGTACTTGTATGGCAGTGCTAAGTGGAGGTAGCGGACAACTTGCCTGCATTGCTTATTTAGATCTTCAGGTTAGACAGTAAGCACCTTAATCTACTGTGTCATCTCCAAGGACCAAAAGGGGTGTTTTCTCATTTTTAATTACTGATTTATGTGTGTGAGTGTTTACCTGCCTACCACTGTTGCCTGGTGCTTCCAGAGGCCAGCAGAGAGTGTTAGATCCTTAGGAGCTGGAGTTACATAGTTTTATCTTGTAGGTACAAAGAATTAAACCTGGATCCTCTGGAAGGGCACCTAGTGCTTTTGATGGCTCAGCATCTGTCTAGCCCACCCCACTCTCAGTGTTGTTTACGATGGGGTGTGTGGAGTGACAGTAATCTCTTCAGGCTGTTTGAACACTTTGTGAAGATGTGTGTGCTATGTGTGGCGTTCAAAGGTAGCATCAGGTGATTTCTCATGTCACTGTCTCCCTAAGCCTTAGAGGTGGGACTATCCCTACAGCTCAGGCTCATGTTCTCAGCTAGGTTGGAAGCCTGTAATCCTCCTGTTAGAGCTGGGGTTACAGGTGTGTGTGGGAGCCAGGTTCCTTATGTTGGTGCAGGGATCTAAACTGGTCTCATGATTGGACCACAAGTGGTCTTCCTGTTGAGCCCTAGTCTCTGTTTTCTCATATGGATGATTTTTGAGGTAAAATCTCTCTCGGTGTATATGAAAATGAAACTGGGTTTCCTGTCATCTGGGACCATAGTTGAGCCTCACTGTAATGTCAAGTCAGAGACATCTGAGTGTTTTCTGGTTCTTATTTGCCTTCTCCAGATAATCTACTTGCCTTGTCTTTCCCAGGTTTTTCCTGTGGTTCTGTACACTGTAGATTCTTGGGTTTCCCAATGGATGTTCAGGGGTAGAGGACTCAGCTCTTTGTAGTACATTCTCTTGAGTCTGATTTACAGGCATGCTCATCAGGGTCCAGGGCCTGAAACTGTTGTTTGTATGATTTTGTGTTGCAGAAAGTATAGGTCCTACCGCTGAGCTCAATGCACTTTGTGTGAAACTGGAAAGAAAACCAATGTATAAGCCCGTGGACCCTCACTCTCGGATGCAGTCCACCTACAGCTACGGCATGCGTGGAGGTGCCTATCCCCCCAGGTATGTGCTGGGGTGGAAATAGCTGGGATGTCTATAAATTGTGACAGGAGTCATGATTTGGCCTGATTGGGGTTAGGGTGTGCCATTGGTGTTGTCTTGGCAGATGGCCGGAGCAGGTTCCTGGGGAGCAGCTGCTCACACTCACCGTCAGGCCACCCTGGGCCCTGCAACACATGCTTCCTGCCTGCTGTTTGTTGACTGTTGTACTTTGTCAGACACTAAGACTGATGAACACTGAGAAGTACTGAAACCTAGTGTGCTTCCAGAATGCCTGTAATCCCAGCGCTCAAGAGGTGGAGGCAGAAAGATCACCTGCTGCATAGTAGCCTGGCCAGCCTGGGCTACATGAGATCCGATGTGTTGCTGCAAGCCTTTGTTGTAAGGAGTGAGATGTTAGTGAATAGATCAGTGATCGAAGTAGACGTTTATTTTCCTTCCTTCCTCTGATGAAGTGGGAAGTAGCAAAACCTCAAAAATACAGACTTTGAAGTTGAAGGAACCGACTCTTGAATTTGGTGTTACTGAAATTTCAGAAATGAGGGTCCTTTCTAAAAGGCTTCACCCTTAAAATCCCCAGATTGCTTGGGAGATGTGTGAATGCATAAAGTGAGCTGAGTTTGTCTGAGCGCACCCAGTCCGTCCTGGACCCTGCCAGTACAGCCACATGGAGAGTCAGCCACGAGCTTGACGTCAGTGTGACTCGTCCCCTGCTTGTCTGTCTGTCCTCTGCAGCAGCTGTAGTTCAGTGTGAGCCTTGAGGCAGCCTCCACTGTGCTGCAAACACAGTGATGAGACCACAGTACAGGAAATGTGGGATTTGCTGAAGAAGGCATGGGTGACTTACCAACCGGAGACTGAAACCCCCACCCTCTATTTGTAGGTACTTTTACCCATTTCCAGTTCCGCCATTACTCTACCAAGTTGAGCTTTCTGTGGGAGGACAGCAGTTTAACGGGAAAGGAAAGACGAGACAAGCTGTGAAACACGATGCTACCGCCAGAGCACTGAGGACTCTGCAGAATGAGCCTCCACCAGAGAGGCTGGAGGTAGGTGGACACAGGCCTGGGACAGCCCGCTGCTGCTGACGCTGTCTGTAGTCATAGGCTGATAACCATCGACATTCTGTGGCCTGGAGATGTCTCCTAAACGTCTCCGCAGGAAAGCCGAGCAGCCTTTCCTTTCTTTCTACTCTGGCACAGCCCGAGTGACGTGGACATGAAGGGAGTGTGCTGGGAAGGCGGGGCTCTTTCTCAGTGCTGACACCGAGCTGTTGGAGCTGCTGATTGATGTGCGCTCTCTTTCTCTCTCTCTCCTTTCTTTCACTGTGTAGCTCTGGTTGGTCAGAACTGGCAATGTAGACCAGGCTGGCCTCAGACTCACAGAACTCTGCCTGCCTCTGCCTCCTAAGTGCTGAAATCAAAGCTGTGAAGCCAGCACACCCAGCTAGACCCCACTGATTTGTGGTATTAAGTTAGAGAATTGCTGTCTTTCTAGCACACTGTCCCAGAACACGGTACAGGTTTTTGCTCACCCTGCAGCTTGGCAGGGCTATAGGTGTGGCAGCTTGTCCTCTCTGCTTAGTTTTGGCACAGGAAGTTCACCAGCAATTGGGAGGGAGGGCCTAGTGACAAAATGACTCCCTCTGCATGGACCATAGTTCCTGTTTAGTTCCCTCTGCTGGGACTGTTTGCACTTCCTCACAGTTTGGTGACTGAAGAATGAGTGTCCTTGGACTGGAGAGATGGCTTAGTGGTTAAGAGCACTGGCAGCTCTTCCAGAGGACCTGGGTTCAGTTCCCAGCACCCACATGGTGTCTGTCTGTATCTTCAGTTCCAGAAAATACAACACCTTCACAGACATGCACAGGCAAAATACCAGTGCATATAAACTAAAAATAATTAAAAAAAAAAAAAAAGAGCATCCTTGAAGACAGGAAATGGAAACTGGTTCTTAAGGCTCATTCCCAGAAATCACAGCCTGGCTCCTGCCATGTTTTATAGGCTAGGCAGGCCTGGAGCCAAAGGAGGGAGACAAGGAGCCTCATGTTTTATGTTGTTTTTATTAAAGATCACATTAGATAAACTCAGCTTAATTCTTTTTTTTTTTTTTTCAGCTTAATTCTTGTACATGTATAATCCAACTGCTTCTCTGGCATTCTCAGTGTGGAGAAGCCACTTCTGGAAGAGAGGAGTGTTTATGAATTTGGGGTCTTTCTTTGTTTTGTTTTCCTGTTGTGGAAGGTTGATGCTAATCATACACTGAGCTATGCTATCAGCCCTGGGCTGCAATTTAAGAGTTCCATGGTTAGGAAAGGAATCTGAATGTTTTGTTTTTCTTTTCTGTGACTGAAGAGTAATTCTTTTTTTTTTTTTTTTGGTTTATTTGAGACAGTGTTTCTCTCTGTAGCCTTCTCTGCCTTGAACTCACTAGACCAGGCTGGCCACCAACTCAGAGCTCTGCCTGCCTTTGCCTCCCAAGTGCTGGGACTAAAGGTGTGTGCCACCTCTGCCTGGCAAGAAGAGTAATTCTTAAATTGTCAGCCAGTAGCTGCTTGAGCAGCTCCATGCTAGTGAGAGAGTGTCTCAAAGAAGGGTGGGGCCTGAGGGTGATGTCTGAGGTGGCCTGGTTCCCTCACACAAAGTTAAATTTCAAACTAAACCTTTTAGATGCTCAGCTTTCATGGCACTTGGTTGTAAAATGGGCTTTAAGAGGTGCCCTATAAGAAGCCGGCACAAGGCCAGGGAGTGATGTGCCCCTCTGGTCCCAGCTGATTAGGAGGTTGAGGCAGGAGTGTCCCTTGAGTCCAGCTTGAGCAATATGGCTAGCCCATAAGGAAAAGAAGGCCAGGGCCCTTCCTGTTGAGGAGTAAGGACCCATCCAGGCACTGGGCACACAATGCTGATGAGGCTGCAATGAAAGGGCCCTCGCTAGGAAGGAAGCGAACACATTGTGGAGGAGGAGGAGAAAGCACTGGTGTGGATCTGGAATCAACACGTGTTGCTGTGGGTGTCTGTGGGTGTCTGTGGGTGTCTGTGGGTGTCTGTGGGTGTCTGTGGGTGTCTGTGGGTGTCTGTGGGTGTCTGTGGGTGTCTGTGGGTGTCTGTGGGTGTCTGTGGGTGTCTGTGGGTGTCTGTGGGTGTCTGTGGGTGTCTGTGGGTGTCTGTGGGTTAGTGGTCAGTGCCCAGGAGCTTTGCTTCTCTTATCTTACTTGACCTTTACAGCGTGCTCGCTCTCTTGTAGGCGGGTCTGCTTGATGAACTGACCCACACAGCAAAGCCTGTTGGCAAGTTCAGCCAGGAGTTCCTCTTAGGGCTAATCCTGGAAACAGAAGTTGACAAATTTGGCAAAAGAAAGCTACAGTGCCTGGTCAGGTCCGGATCTGCTGGTGCTGTGTTGAGCTAGCTGTCCAGAGTCTGTTAAACTCTGTAGAATCCATATTCCTAGCTAAAGAGAGGTGGCCTGGGCCCCCCTCTGAGCCCTCCTGCCAGGAATGAGGACTGGTGAACCTTGGTACCAAGGTGGACTCTACCCTGGTTGAGGAGACTTTATTGGTTTGTGCCTTGGCTGTTTGCCTGCTGCACTGTGTGAGCCAGCGCTACTGGGCATTCTGGTCCTCTGCATTATTTACAGACATGGTTTCCAGGGCCTCTGTAGTATGCCTGTGCGCCTACCACGGAGGGATTTTCCTCCGACTGACTCTGGCTTGTGGACTTTTTTAATATTTATTTATTTATTGTGTATACAATATTCTGTCTGTGTGTATACCTGCTGGCCAGGCCATTACAGATGGTTGTAAGCCACATGTGGTTGCTGGGAATTGAACTCAGGACCTTTGGAAGAGCAGGCAATGCTCTTAACCTCTGAGCCATCTCTCCAGCCCCGGACTTGGCCATTCTTACTCTCCCTGGAAGCATTGGTGCCTTCTATAGCACCGCCAGGCCCATTGTACCCCAAGGCACTGCTGTGGCTTATTATAGTGTGTTTACTAGCTGAATTTGTACAGTATTTGACATGAGGCTGAAGGTTCAATTCCATATGGCCTCCATCTCTGGTTCATTGCTAACTCTGTAAAGCTGAGGCTCAGTTACTATAGATTGATTAACTGAAAATTGAGTATTTTTTTTATGTTTTAATTTTTTTTGAGACCATAAAGTTCTGGCTATCTTAGAACTCAGCCTGTAAACCAGGCTGGCCTTGAACTCAGGGATACACCTGCCTCTGACTCCTGATTACTGGGATTAAAGGTGTATATCACCATACTTGGCTCCTCAAAGTTGACTCTAACAAGTATTTTTCTGTAGATGAATGGAAGAGAATCAGAAGAAGAAAACCTCAATAAATCAGAAATAAGTCAAGTGTTTGAGATTGCACTGAAGCGGAATTTGCCTGTGAATTTTGAGGTAAGACATGCACGACATTGTCATTACCAGATCCTGTCAGGATTCATGATGGGATCCGCTTGCTCCTAAATCCTGGAGTAGTGCTCAGCTAAGGTGGCCCTTCATACTGATGGGCTGGACAGTCCCCTCAGAGAAGGGGTTACTGTGTCTTCCTGCGAGTGTCTGTGGGTCTCTGTCCCTAGGAAAGTGAACTGTTCCACGCTCATCTTCACACTTGCACACGGGCCCTGTCCCTCCCCTTGCTCTGGAAAGCAACTTTCCCTCCCAGATCCTGTCTCCTTAGGTGGAGGCTCAGTCAGACTGGCTGCAGAACGCGTACCCAAGAGGAATAGCCTGAAGGAGGATTGTTGGTTTTTTGTTTTTTCGTTTTTTTTCTCTGACAGGGTTTCTCTATAGCTTTGGTGCCTGTCCTGGAACTAGCTCTGGAACCAGGCTGGCCTTGAACTCAGAGAGATCCGCCTGCCTCTGCCTCCCCGAGTGTTGGGATTAAAGGCAGAGTGTTGGCGGCATGAAGCTGTTATCTTGTAGAATATTTTAATTCTGCATTTATAATGATCCCCTCATTTTATTTCATAAAATGCAGATCTTCTCCTGATGCATGTTTCCCATTTAACCTTCATTCCATAGCCAGGTTAGGGTAACTGTCCTATGATCTGGCAGGTGATGTCCACTTCCCACCAGGGGCAGAGGCAGGGTGATCTGTGCTTGCCTCCCAGACCAGCCTGTGTGAGAACTGTCCTTGTTCCCTGCTTCAGAAATCAGATACTCCTGTCTTATATGCTGTCTTCTCTTGGGGAGGCACCATGTGGCTGGCTAGGGTAGGAAGGAGACATGACATAGAATGACAGGGCTAGTTAGTTGCTGGGTGGAAGCTGTATCCCAGACTCTCCCTGAGCGTTCCCTGTAAAGGAAAACATGCCCTTTCTTAGGGTAGAATAGCACGAGAGTGCAGCTCTAGAGACAGGAGAGAGGATGACCAAGATTAAGGTGTCCGGCTCCCCAGATCCCTGCTCAGGATCACCCCTGAATTCTTGATAAGTTTGTCATCCATTTTTACTGGTCACTGCCCTGCCTGAGTCTCAGAGCTTTTTGGAGCCTTTTATTGTGGTGGCATCTGGGGATTAGATTACCCCCTCTTCACGTTCACAACTTGCTTTTAGGAATAGGTAGCATTCCAGAGACATGTCAAGCAGCCACCAAAGAGAAATCATCAGGGTGCCCCCTAGTGATGGTCTTGTAAGGTGTACTACTTTTTTCTTTCTTTTTTTAAAAAGATTTTATTTATTATGTATACAACATTCTTCCTCTATGTATGCCTGCATGCCAGAAGAGGGTGCCAGATCTCATTACAGATGGTTGTGAGCCACCATGTGGTTGCTGGGAATTGAACTCAGGACCTCTGGAAGAGCAGCCAGTGCTCTTAACCTCTGAGCCTTCTCTCCAGCCCCTACTACTTTTTTCTTGTTGTACTAAGATACTACTACCAAGGCAGAAAGAGTTTGTTTTGGCTTCTGCGTCCAGAGCAGTAAGAGTCTATCCATCATGGCAGCAAGTGTGTAGGCGGGGCTGAAAGAGCAGGTGCTGAGTCTGTGTCTTCAGTGGCAAACAGGAAAAAGAGAAGTGGAATAGGATGAGACTCCGTAGTATTCGCAATGCTTATCCACGGTGATGTGCTACTTCCTTAGCAACTCCTTGACCTCTTCAGACAGTGCCACCAACTGGGTACCAAGTGTGTTCTAGTGCCTAGGGCTGTGGGAATATTTTCATGCAAATCAGTACATGAGGTAATGATGTGGAACCATCGTGGTTCATCTCTAGGTGGTGCTGGTTGAAATATTCCTGCTGAGTGACTGTCAGGTCAGAAGGGTCACAGCCGCATCTATTGGTGGGTTGAACAGGGCCTGCCTTTTCTGATGCTTGTGGCAGATTGTCTGGCCCATACTGGATTCTCAGAAAGTATTGTTGAATAAATGAACACAATAGTTAATTTCCAGTCAGGTTCAGTGTGGGCTGTGAGGTCAGAGTAAGCCAACATATATTTGATCTGAGGACGTGTGGACCATTGGGCTCCTCTCCCATGGACAGCTGTTTCTTTGAAGAACTTTGTTTCCTGGGCATTTCTTTCGACTGCTTTCAAAACTGTCAGATTTGACAGGACAGTCTGAAGCAGGACAGATGTGTGACTGGAAGGACTTTAAGCCCATGCCGTGATCGTACAGGAAGCTGAGCTCTACTGTCACCTCACACACACCCTCTTCCTGCACTCTCTGTTTTGGGGGATGTTTTTACTGTTCTGCCGTGCAGCCCAGGGCCTCCTTTCAGTCTTGTCTTTGTGGTCACCTTTCATCTGTGACAGTCCTCAGCCTTCGTTCTTCATGAGCTTGGTGTGTTGGAAGGCTAGTTGAGTGCTCTCATTCTGAGGGACTAGATCAGGATGTGCATCTTTTCAAAGGTAGAGTCCTTCTCAGAGCCCCGAGCGCCATCACTGTCCCACTGGTGCATTGGGTCAGGGCTCTCCAATGGATGGGGTCCTTGCAGAGAGTCTCTTTCTTCCCTTGGGATGTGGGACCTTTTGAGGACACCCTTGAGTCTGGGAATTAGCATTCCCATTGTCATCTGTGGGGTTGTCCCTGACAACCATCTGAATTTCTAAGCCTCTGCTGTCAATTAAACCCGTCCTTTCTCTCCCCTTTGATATTCTGCATGTGTTCACAGATGATTATTAGATCCCCTCCACATGCATTTCTTTGAAACACGTGTGCCAAGTAGTGTGCCTTACCACTTTTAACAAGTGTCTGTCACGCTTTCACTCAGTCTTACCCTCTGACACAGGTGGCCCGGGAGAGTGGCCCACCCCACATGAAGAACTTTGTGACCAGGGTTTCAGTCGGGGAGTTTGTAGGGGAAGGAGAGGGCAAAAGCAAGAAGATCTCCAAGAAGAATGCAGCAAGGGCCGTGCTGGAGCAGCTGAGGAGGCTGCCACCTCTGCCTGCTGTGGAGCGAGTGAAGCCCAGAATCAAGAAGAAAAGTCAGCCCACATGCAAGGTGAGAGCCTGTATGGCAGGGCTGCAGTGTTGCAGTGGTTAGGGTAGAAGCTTGGCTGCTGTCCAGCACCACAGTTTGCAGTAGATGCTTCCCAGGCAGCACATGAGCTGCAGGTGGAGTAGAGATGGTTGAAAACAAACACATCCAAGTGTCAGGTTAATATGGGGGTGGGCATCAAAGCCTGTTGGTCTCTGTGGAATGGGTGGGGTAGTAGACCACCTGTGGATTCTTGTCTTGAGCCACCTCTAGTTCAGGGCTCAAGGTGGAATTGGCACACACAGGGCTGGGTCTTGGGTACCAGAGCCCATAGAGACTGTTTTGGAAGAGTTTTGGATATTTGAATGAAACTTAATGGGTCTATAAAAAAACAATGACCGAGCCCATGTCTGGGGCGGGAGAAAGACAACATTGACCAGCTGGGTAGTGGTGGTGCACTCCTTTAATCCTAGCACTCAGGAGGCAGAGGCAGGTGCATTTCTGAGTTCAGGGCCAGCCTGGTCTACAAAGTGAGTTAGTTCCAGGACAGCCAGGGCTGTTACACAGAGAAACCCTGTCTCTGAAAAAACAAACACAATGAAAAACATTGACCCAGGGGGCTGGAGCAGCAGTTAAATGGCTCAGCAGTTAAAAGCACTGGCTGCCCTAGCAGAGGACTCTATCCCGGTTCAGTGCCATATGGTGATTCACAATTGTCTGTAACTGCAATTCTAGGGAATGTGACTCCTTCCCTCTGTGGACACCCGGCACACATGTGGTAATACATGCAAACCAGACATTCATACACATAAGATAAAAATAAATTTTTATTAAAAACAAAAAAATGTTGACCCCTGTTGAGCACTTAAAGGGCCAGGACTTGGGTCATCCACTGCTCATTTTCTTAAATTTTACCACGCCTCTGCCACTTTACCAGTTTTCAGCTGCGGTGTCAAGTCACTTTAGTCACCTGACAAGTGCTTTGAGGAAGGAGCCTCCTTTCCCAGGCTTCAGCTGGCATGTGTTTAATTCATAATATTGTTTTTGCAGTACTGGGGATTGAATGAAGGCCTCAGGTTTGCTGGCCGTGCCCTCTACCACTGAGCTGTATCTTCCAGTTAAGGGCTTACACAAGCTTCAGTGGTTTCTAGGTTTTAGTGACTGAGAAAGCTAGATTGTGGGCCCTGTGCCTATTCAGTCAAACATGGGTGATGGCCCTGACTCCATCTACCCTTTCTGTCATTCTTGACCAAACACTGTGGTCCCATAGCCCTTTACATGGCAAATCCCAGTAGGTGAATGTCCCAGTCATGAGGAGTCCTCTTCATCATGTAGGAAGTGGAAGAGGACACGTGCAAACACTGCGTTTGTGTCAGGTTGGGGCATGCAAAGGGATTCTGTCCTTGGGGGATCCTGGAAGTTTTCTGAGCAAATTTTGGGGGAATATATATATTCCTTTTCATTTACTGTGAAGACATGAGTGCTTTCCCCTCACAGTGAAATGTTGAAGTCCATTTTCTGTGACACAAAAATTGTTTTAGTATGACTATAAAGCACATTCAATTTTTAAAGGGTTTGGTTCTGAGCCATTAGACCAACACTGAGATTTTTGTCTCCTGTCAACTGCTGACTCTGGGTGGCTGATTTCCTGTGGAATAGAAAGTATAACGTAGCAGACTGTGTTGTACTGTTTCTCTTCAGCTACAGACAGCCCCGGATTATGGCCAGGGGATGAATCCTATTAGCAGACTGGCACAGATTCAGCAGGCCAAAAAGGAAAAGGAGCCGGAGTACGTGCTCCTTACAGAGCGAGGCCTTCCACGTCGCAGGGAGTTTGTGATGCAGGTGGGTTGGTGCAGCTGTGGACAGCCCTTCCCCAACCATATCAGTCCCTGGTGGTCCATACTCTACCAGCACATACTGTCAGTAAGGCCATGTTGCAGTTCATTGGGCCTGGCGATGCATGCATTTAATCTCAGTACTCTCCAGGCAGGTGGGTCTGAGTTTGAGGCTGGCCTGGTCTACATAGCAAGACCCTACCTCAAAAACCAAACAGAAACAAAGGCAAGAAAATGAGGATCCAACTGGTAAGAGGAAGTTAGACTGGCAATTTGCCTGAAGTGACTGGTCTAGGCTACTCTGCCTAGGCCAGAGAAGGAGTCCCTGTTAACCCTCTCAGTGTTCTGGCAGATTTTGATTTAGCAGCCAGATACCTCTGGATGGAACAGCTTTAAAAGAGTATGCTGGAACTTGTCCAACAGCCAGCCCTCAGGAGAGTGGAGGAGGAGGCTTCACTGTGGTTAGATCTAGACACATACCTATCTTTGTAAATATGCTGTTGGAAGGGATTGTGGCACACATTTCCATATAGTATTCTTGGATTTTAACTTGATTGTGACCATCACAGGAATAGTTTCAGAGTACACAAAACATGTAGTAAAGTCATCCTCGGGCTTTTGGCAGCAACCAACCAGTTCCTGTTGTGTCTTAGAAGGTTTAGTCACAGGTCTTTGATGTTTTCTTCAGGTAAAGGTTGGGAATCACACTGCAGAAGGAGCGGGTACCAATAAGAAGGTGGCCAAGCGCAATGCTGCTGAGAACATGCTGGAGATCCTGGGGTTCAAAGTTCCCCAGGCACAGCCTGCCAAGCCAGCACTCAAATCAGAAGAGAAGGTGACTGCTGGGACTCTCACTGCCAGGTGGCCTAGCTCCCTGCATGGGCAAGCCTGGGGCAAGGCTTCATCTTCCCTGCAGTAAGCAGCCTGCCCCCTGGGGATCGTCCGTTGATAGTGTTTGCAGGAGGGAAGGTTCCTGTCCAGTTCACCGTGTCCCACGCGTGGTTTGAAGTCTGTTTAGTGTCACTGTGGGGTGGATGTGCATTTTTGGGAGGATGTCCTGCTCTCTCCTGATGGGTAGCTGGGATTGGAATGAACAAGTATGGCTGTCATTTGTGCTTCATAGGGGTCTGCATGATCTAGTGGTTTTTCTGGGACTAGATAGCATGGTTAATAACAGGCCAGATCTCTAGTTTGGCTCCAGCCATTGTCCTGTTGGGGTTGACTAAAGTAGGACTGAGTCTCTTCTGAGCTCTGCCATTTTGTGACCAAGAAATAGCTCCCTCTGTGCCTGTGAAGTCAGTACCTGGGACCCAGACATTCCATATGGAATTTGCATAGACCTGGACTTGGCGTTCAGATTTCTCATTTGAAAACCTTGTAGAGTACATGTAAGCACCCTTGCCTCGTGTCTGACAGTTATGCACTAAATGCCTCTTGTGTCCTTTGTGGAAGTACTGTTTCTGGATGTTAGTTCTGGGTAATGTAAGACATACACATTTCTTAGCACCCTACTGGGCTGAGCACTTTGAAGCCAGCATTCTCTGGTCCTTGGCAGAGTCAGCTCTGCATTCATGATCTGCTCCATGTGACTGCCATCATGGGCAGTCAGAGTTTGTGTGGTGGGGGACATGAGAGACTATGCACACAGACCCCAGTGCTTGTCCATGCTCACTGCTATTTTTCTTTCTTAAGACCCCAGTAAAGAAACCAGGAGACGGAAGGAAAGTAACGTTTTTTGAACCTAGCCATGGGGATGAAAATGGAACTAGTAAGTGTAACCCTCTTGGTCCAATGTGCTTTGTCTGGGTTTGCATGGTTCTTGTGTGACAGTGTGAAGCACCAGTAGGCACCACCTTCCTAGGATTGGGATGGTGGGAAGGGTGGCACTGTAACTTCTTAGGTGGCTGTGACCTCTATGTCCCTTATAGGTAATAAGGAGGACGAGTTCAGGATGCCTTATCTTAGCCATCAGCAGCTGCCAGCTGGAATCCTCCCCATGGTGCCGGAGGTTGCTCAGGCTGTTGGGGTTAGTCAAGGACACCACACCAAAGATTTCACCAGGGCAGCTCCGAATCCTGCCAAGGCCACGGTAACTGCCATGATAGCTCGCGAGTTGTTGTACGGGGGCACTTCGCCCACAGCCGAGACCATTTTAAAGAGTAACATCTCTTCAGGCCACGTATCCCATGGACCTCGCACAAGACCCTCTGAGCAACTATACTACCTTTCCAGAGCCCAGGGATTCCAGGTGACTGTTTGTCTTTTTAATAACATCTTTAAATTAGGTTCTTTCTGCATAAGATCACTTTTGTAGTGTTTGCAAGATCCTGGGTTCTGTCCCTAGCACCACAGAAACCAGAAAAAGTGAGATCATATGCTTTGTCTAAAAGATCAGAAGTACAGTATGGTTTTGCGCAGAAGTAAAACAACAGGAATAGCTGTGGCATATGACAAGGTGGCTCATCATGTAAAGGCGCATCCTCAAACCTTGAGTTTGGGGGCTGGAGGGATGGCTCAGAGGTTAAGAGCACTGGCTGCTCTTCCTAGAGGATCTGAGTTCAATTCCCAGCAACTACATGGTGGCTTACAACCATCTATAATGAGATCCGGTGCCCTCTTCTGGAATGCCGGCAGAACAGTGTGTACATTATAAATAAATAAATCTTTAAAAACAAAACAAAAACCCTTGAGTTTGGTTGTTGGTGGGAAGAAAACCAACTCCAGCAAGTTGTCCTTTAGGTCTACAGGGAGAGAAGATATTTTTCCTTAGGAAGCAGCATTTAAAACCTAAGTAGGCTCCTGAAGGACTCTGGGCTGTGTCCCACACGGTGCTCTTTCTCCTTAGGTTGAATACAAAGACTTCCCCAAGAACAACAAGAACGAATGTGTCTCTCTCATCAATTGCTCCTCGCAGCCGCCCCTCATCAGCCATGGCATCGGCAAGGATGTGGAGTCTTGTCATGATATGGTACGTGGGCCTCAGAGGTGCCTCAAGAAGCTGACTGGGCACCTGGCACATTCCTTCTCTGGGCTGTTAGTGGTCTCAGGAAGAGAGACAAAGTTCTGTAATCTTACTCACTTCAGCCCCTATTCTGGCAGCTGTAGAAAGCCCCCTTTTAGAGAGTCTGGTTCAGATAAAGTTAAACCCTAAAAGAGAAGAGCCTGCACACATGAGCTTTGTCACTTACTGGATGATAATGCTGCATGGAGCGAACGCCTCTGATTTAGAGGGAAACATGGGAGTCTTTTGTTGAGAGCATGGTAGGTCACTGTCAGGTGAAAAGCCAAAAGTAATATGTGGTACCCGAGGAAAATGGCAGTTTGGTGCCTTATCTTAAAAATTCAAACATTTTATCTGGGCGGTGGTGATGCAAGCCTTTCCCAGCACTGTGAGTTCAAGGCCAGTCTGGTCTACAAAGTGAGTTCCAGGTCAGCCAGGGATACAGAGAAACTCTGTCTTGGTTGTTTGGGGTAGGGAACTTAAATATTTTATTGGGAAGAAAAAAGTTCTAAAAGGTTGCTAGCAGTTTGTTGATGTCCCTTTCCATGTGAGTTTAGCCTGTGTTCTGTGATTTGACTGTTCCTTCCCCTCTCTTAGGCTGCATTGAACATTTTAAAGTTGCTGTCTGAACTGGACCAACAGAGCACAGAGATGCCGAGAACAGGAAATGGACCAGTGTCAGCGTGAGTGAGCATATGCACAAATTGCTGCCACTGTTGGTTGACTCTGAGGAAGTATTTGCCAGAACTGCATTCTGGCTTTAACACCTGCAGGCCCCCAGAAGTACCCTTCTTTATCTGACTCTCAGTAGTCACATGATCACATGATTTTAATGGTACATGGTGACACACCTTCTCCAAGGGTTACCTCTTCTTTTTATTTACTTTTTTTTATGTGTAAGGGTATTTTGTGGGCACAGGCCAGAAAGGGTATTGGAGTTACAGATTGTTGAGATGCCATGCTCTGGAAGAACAGCCAGTGCTTTTGACCAGTGAAGAAACTCCAGCCTTTCCCGTGTTTATGGAAATAACCCTTTCAACTAAATATTTTTCTTTATGGAGATGGTGGGGACTAAACCTAGAGTCCTTGGTCATGTCAGACAAGTATTCCCAGAGCACTATCTCTTTCCTCAGACACAGAATACATTCCTCCTTCCCTCCAGTTCTAGGATGACTGTTCTCAGCTCCTACAAATGGGAGCTACATGCAGTTAGCTTTAGTTCTCATTTCAACATTCTTGCCATTGTCATTTTTCTCTTCCTTAAAGGTGTGGGAGGTGCTGAACCTTTTCTGGCCACAAACCATTATAAATCCCAACATGTATACTGAAAATACTGAGAACTGCTTTCAAAATTTGGAATTTCTGATAACTCCAGTGGGCTGAGACACGAATATAGAAGGTGGCAGCAGTAGCAAAGAAGACACAGACTCCAGGTGATGTGGCCTTGGTTGTGCTGGGCTGCTAGTGACAATGTGCTCTGCCAGCCATCAAGAGAGACCAGCCCCATCACCTTCAATTTTTATATTGTGATAAAAGAGAAACAGAAAGCATGGCCTATTCTCATGCTGGCTCATTCAGATACTTCGGACAACCCTGGACAGCCACGCCGGAGAGGCCCCGGAGCTAAAAGCACCAGAGAAAAGCCAGTTCTTCCTGTCCTGCATAACAGACGCAGCGTGCTCAGCCTGCCACGTGTAGTGCCCACCCACTGGAACCACTGCTTTCTCAACAGCGATGCTGGTTCATTATTTCCTTTGGTTGATGACACTATATAATTTTCTTTTCAGTTTCTCAGTTGCATCTACTTATCTAGCACAGTTTAGAAACTTGTCTGAGACCGATGCTATCAGTCTAGCAAAGATCACAGGCCTGTTTGATGCGTCTGTCCCTCAGGCTGGCTAAACAGATTTTACCAGAATCCTTTACAGCCCCCCCCCACCATCCCCTATATAAATTGGACAGCTTAGGAAATCTAAACTTTAGGTGGTCTTTTTATTTTATTTTAAGCAGCAGACTTAAATGAACCCAGACCTTATTACATAACTCGTCAGTGGGCATGTCTTTTAAGGAGGTAGCTTTTTACCACACTACAGGACATTACCTGTGGGTCCAGACCCTGCAGGCTGGTGTCCCTGGAGTGCCTAATGCAGTCAATTCCAACCTCCTTGGAGGGGAAAGGTTTCCTGGTGCTGTGCTGCTGTGCACAGATGCAGGTAGGTGAGCTGGCCCTGGTGGAGAGCATTGCAACCTCAGACTGAGCACTGCTTCCACATTTGGTTTAGCTGGAACCTTTTCACCCATGGAATGTAAGTAGTCTTTGTCAACAATAAATGGTAATACTAAATTTTTTTTTTGATTAATTTATTTTCAAACACCACTACTTCTAGATCAAACCTCTTCTGGTTCATTACCCATCCCTCTTTCTTTAAAACAAAAAGAAGAGAATATTTGTAATGCTTGTGATTCTGTCTGGGCGAAAATCTGAAGACCTAAAAATCTCTTTATATTAAACTATTGATCAATAAACAGCTACTAAGAAAGTCTTTTTCCAATTGAGCAGTAACTGAAGGCTGTGAGGAAGGGATGTGGCAGCTGGGGAAGTCAGGTTGGCAGTGACTGAAGATTAAAATAAGGGATTACTTTTTTTGTGTGTGGTTATTTGAGACAGGGTTTCTCAGCCTTGGTTTACTGTCCCGAAACTAGCTTTGAAAACCAGACTGATCTCAGAGATCTACCTTCCTTCTGAGTGCTGGGATTGAAGCCCTGCAGCACCATGCTGACAGAATTTACTTTTAAAGGCTACATGTACACTTGCCTGTGCAATGTATGAAAAATTAATGGCACACATTCAACATGAATGCAGCAAAATGAGACATTTTATCTTCAAAATAAAAATCTGCCATAAGTCAGTAGTTCCTTTTGAGACTCCCTAGTGCACACAGACTGATAGGCAAATCATACTCAAATATTTTCACCAACATGAGCATGAGGAAGCCATTCTGATTCATACCCACATGGCTTACAGGGACACAGGTACCTTGCCAACTCAAGAATATGGCTAAACAACTGATGAAAATCGTCCTTCCTCCAGTAACCACTACCTGCCTATAGATCTTCCTGTGCCCCTTCTGCAGCCAGACAGCATGCCAGCCACATTGTCTGTGGCCTATGCTGTTGTGTTCTCTGAACTCTTTCCATGTCTCTCCATGAGCATTTATATGTCATATAAAACTAAACATGCACTTTTACCCACAGACATGCTTCATGGCTCCTGATGGGCTGGAGAGCACTAGAGGTTACAATTTTAAGACACTACACAATATTTCTGAGTCAGGGAGTCTTAGCTTCAGACACCAAGGCACAATGGCTACACAGGCCCCTTTACCTCTTTAGGCTAGGGATGTTTTTATCTCCCTGCCCTTGCATGCTTTATTGTCCTATAAAAGTTATTTCACTGAACTGCCTCGGACACTTTTGACCTTGTCTTCACAGGATCTTTGTTGATACTTTAAGGAGGTAGCTTAACTGATTATTGCCACAGTCAACAACAGATATGCTTGGGTAAGCAATGTTAAACCCATTTAAGCAACAAAGTTTGTGTGTGTGTGTGTGTGTGTGTGTGTGTATGAAAATAACTCAGGCACGGCTTTGACACTCTTAACAGCAATAAAGTCAATACAAATGGAGTCTAAAATGTGACCTCATCTGCTAAATTTCCATGCCTGGAGAAGCTAGTAACAGAATAAAGATGAGATGAAGAGAGCAGCATTAAAGCTAGCTCTAGCCATACCCCTGGGTGTTCCTGGAGCAGCAGGCAGGATAGACTACAGGCTTTATCAAGAGGGAAAGCAGGACAGAGGACTGGCATCAGCCAAGAAATACTATCACCAACAAACACTTATCAGCAAAGAATGACAGGAGCTCTGAAGACCAGATTTCCTATAAACTGTGACCTGGTCAGTTTTGGTCCCTTATTTATTTTTTGAGACAGGCTTTCTATGTATAGCCCTGGGTGTCCTGGAACTTGCTCTATAGACCAGGCTGACCTTAAACTCAGAGAGATCCATCTGTCTCTGCTTCCCACGTGCTGAGATAGGGTGGTAGTGGTCAGCAAGCTCAGTGAGAATGAGCCTCTGCTCACAATCTCTGTCCCTGGCCTCCACCAAAAGATCATGGACCAGCAGCCTTCAGTGCTGGTTCCCCACAGGTTTTCTGCTTTCACGGCTGTGTGCATTATTTGTCTCTCAGCCTGAAGATGGCTATTGACACCTGCTTCTCAGTAAAGCACAAATAATTAAGAGGCCAAGTCAACTGTTACAGCTGATAGCTGTAGTGATATTTCATTTGTATTTTAATAAATAAAGCTTTTCTGAAGTTCAGAAAGTAAAACAGCTGCACACTGATCAACAGACCAGGCAGTGATGATACACACCTTTGGACACAGTCTCATTCTGAGATTCCTGGAGGCAGGATTGGACAGAGGTAGAAGTAAGAACCTCTTTGCTTTGCTTTTCTGACCTTCAGGTTGAGCTCCAAAATTCTGTCTCTGGGTTTTTATTAATCGTGCCACAGACAGCTAATGCAGACTTAACTTAAACCTCCCCTACCATCTGTCAGTGTACCTCACCACCTGACATGTTAGTGAGTCTGCTCACTACATCTGGTACAGTCCCTGAAGCTGTCTTAACTCCACAGGACCTCCAAAATGGTCAGCACACGGACACAGAAGCAGCAGTCTCCCTTCCACAAACAACCCCAAAACACACTTCCTTTGTGTTTACAGATGAACTGAGGAAGAAAAAACCGAATTGTCAGTTCTGGGAGCACCCAATGTCTCCCATAATGTTACTGCTGCACCCGTGCAATCTGTACTCCATGATTTGCCAAGAGCTAATTACATAAAGGACTCTGAGCTACACTCACGAAGTCCAGAGGGGAAACTGGAAAGATTTAAAGAAATTCTTCATTTTTATGAAAGCACCAAAACCTTGTCCTGAAGATGCTCTTAGATACACATTTTTGTGTTTTTAATTGCTGATTTTAGACTTCAACTATGAAATGTGCACAGCTTGGTAAGTCAACAAGTGATCCTTTACTTTTTCGCATTTCCAATAAAAGCTTAAAGAAACAGACAACAGTACAAATGACGAGAGAAATACTAGCTTTAAAAGAAAGGGCTTAGTTAGAAACAAGTAAGTCTCCACAGGGAAGGTCTGCCAAAAATCTGAAATAATCCAAACCGTGCAAATGCTCAACCCATGGCCATACAGGGTATTGTAAATACTTGTCCCATGAAGCCACAAACCAGACAAGATACCAGTTATGTTGATGTTCAACACAAACAGCCTCGTTTGCTTAGAGCAGTATTTACTGTCCTCTGTAAGATGGAGCTTGTCACAAATTCAAGAGGTTGAAAACCTGTACTGTTTTCACCAGAGCTGTGCTGAGGAGTCCACATGGTTCCTAAGAAACCATCCTGGGCCCATGGGGTCAGGAAGAAGCCATTCACAGCAGAGTAACGCTGGCTGCCTGCAGGTAGCCTTGAAGGTACTGCAATGCTTCTGCATTGAGGCTGGTGCTCACCATGGAGGGAACCTGTGAGGGAAGGAAGCACACGGTGTTGGAGGCTCTTGTGTCACACTCAGACTGGCACCTGAATGAATGCTTGCCGCCAGGTGGGGAAAGGCAGCTAGTTCTTGTCCCTGTCCACAGGAGGTAGAAATAACTGACTTCATTCCTTCAAAACGGCTGGGCTTAGGGCAGGTGAGAAAAGGTACTGTTTGGGTAGAGGAAGTTTGATCCCCAGGACTCATTCAGCAGAAGGAGAAAACTGACTAGTCAGCCGGGTGGTGGTGGCGCATGCCTTTAATCCCAGCACTCGGGAGGCAGAGGCAGGCGGATCTCTGTGAGTTCGAGACCAGCCTGGTCTACAGAGCTAGTTCCAGGACAGGCTCCAAAGCCACAGAGAAACCCTGTCTCGAAAAACAACAAAAAACAAACAAACAAACAAAAACAAACTGACTAGTCGTCAAGTGACCTCTACAAACATCTCAAAAACTAAGGTAGATTGCCCTCTGGCCTATACATACACACATATACATGGTAGACCCATAAAGAATTACTGTTAGGGGTGCTATGGTTGATAAAAGATTTTTGTTGTTTTTGTTTAAACGGGTTCTCTGTAACAGCTCTAGACGTCCTGCAACCAGGCTGTCCTGAACTCCTGACTCTGCCTCCTTAGTGCTGGGATTAAAAGCTTGTACAACTAACATCTGATAAGGTTTTTATGTTCTTTTAGTTTACAGACAAATTATGTATCCAAGGTTTGCCTAAAACTCACAGCTATCCACCCAACTCAGCTGGAATTGCATGTTTGGCAAAAAAAAAAAAAAAAAAATTAACGAAGCCTAATTAACTAATTAAGTACTTCTGTGTACTTATAAAACAAGTAATTTACAAAATGTTGGTAATTAGCCGGGCGATGATGGCGCACGCCCTTAATCCCAGCACTCGGGAGGCAGAGGCAGGCGGATCTCTGTGAGTTCGAGACCACCCTGGTCTACGGAGCTAGTTCCAGGACAGGCTCCAAAGCTACAGAGAAACCCTGTCTCGAAAAACAAAACAAAAAAAAAATGTTGGTAATTATTTTAGCTGGGTTTGTCATGCTGTTTCTATAGGTGAAAAAGAAACTACAATATAGTAGAAAAATGCTGAAAGACTAGCTAAATGCAGCTAAAAGGCCAGGATTAGATTGAATCCATGATCTCTTACCTAATTTCTGAGTATGTTGCAGGCTTTTTGTTTGTTTTTATTTTTTGGAACAGGGTTTTCTGTGTAGCCCTGACTGTCCTGGAACTCTGCCTTCTGAGTGCTGGGACTATGGGTGGTGTGAGCCACCATGCATAGCACGTTATAGTTTTTAAAAATATTACCAAAAATAAATAAATAAATAAATAAATAAAGAAAAAAAAAAGGTTTCCTTAGAATCCCAAGGTGCAAGAGCTACTGATGTCCTGACTGGCCAGTCTTGTCTCCAAGAATGAAACAGCACACTTACCCTTCCCGGACAAGCTGTAGACAGTTTGTGAAGTGACTGTGCCAGGTGGATTTTGGGGTTGTTCACCATCTGACCTACAGGGTCATGTTCTTTTTTACCAGCAAATGCTAGTTGTGAGAAGGCAGTCTGGTATCCTGGCGTATCTTCTATGTCGATAAAATGCTCTTCATCAGGAATGGTATCATCTTCAGGTAACTCAAAAAGGCCAATGAGAGATTGTAACAAAGGAGTCCTGGATGGTAAAAAAGAAAGAAAAGCACAGAAAATTATGTATTTATTTTTATTTTTTGTGTAATAGCCCTAGCTGACCTAGAGCTAGCTCTTGTAGACCAGGCTGGCCTCGAATTCAAAGATCAAAGAGATCCACCTGCCTCTGACTCCTGAGTGCTGGGATTAAAGGCGTGTGCCACTACCATCCAGACAGATAGATGGCTTATGTACAAAATTCCAGAAATAAAAGAAATGAAGG